GGGGGCAGATGAGAGCTCCTCGGTGAGTAGCTGAGGAACGTCCTGTTTGTCTGTGGTGAGATTTGAGGTCAGAGGAGAGTCAGAGGCTGGGGGGCATTGGCTTTGGGAGAGACAGGAGTATGTAATAAATTAGCCACAGACGTCTTGTCCACACCAGCCGGACAAGACGCCTGCAGCCCATTTCAGCCCAGCTCTGCTTCTCTGTCGATGCTTTCCTCATCTGCTCGCCACCTTGGTTTCTGTGCTGTGTACAGAAAGGTGTTGGGGTGCTGACTGATATTGTGGTGGAAGGGTAGGGATATGGGACTTGCTTCCACCCCCCAGGTCACACCTCCTGCTCCTCCCTAGGACACTTCTCACCTGTGGAGGGTGGGGAGGGACCCCGCACAGAAAACAGGATCTCCAGCACCTTTTCCTCCACTGAAAACACCTAGCTCCCTCCTGCAGCGTCACTATGCCCCAGGATCCCATCTAACATTGCCATGTGCTGCGTTGTTCCTGTCTGCCCGTTCTGCAGGCCCACTGATCCCCAGAACCTAACCCCATCCTTTCATGGCAACCACACTTCCTGGTCTCCTAACAGTATCCCTTAGAGCTCAGGGGGTTGGGTCTGCTGGATCCTGACATGAAGCTGGAGAGAACACCAGGGCACCAGGTGCTGAACATCACGCACGTTTGGCCTTGCTTCTCAGTAGGCTGTTGTGTGCAGCACCACCCCCGCTCTCAGCCCACAAACCCCTACCTTCTATAAAAACACGACCATGAAGTCAGGGACCAGGGACCAGATCCTTTAAGAGAAAGATGCTTTTATTCTTTGGCCCTGTGTGTCTGGATGGGCTAGTACCTTTTCTTTTATTTTTTTATTGATTTCAAAGAGAGGAAGGGAGAAGGAGAGAGAGAAAGAAACATCAGTAATGAGAGAGTCATTCATCAGCTGCCTTCTGCCTGCCTCCTACTGGGGATCAAACCCGCAACCCAGGCATGTGCCCTGACTGGGAATCGAACCATGACCTCCTGGTTAATAGGTCGATGCTCAACCATTGAGCCATGCCAGCTGGACTGGGCTAGTACTTTTAGAAGGCTCTAGAAATAAGTCCTGGCTGACCTAGGACAAGAGTAGGAGCCCTCGTGGAATCAGAGTGGTGCCAGCAGCAGAAGAAATAGCAGTGAGGAGTAGGTAAGAGTAAAGGTTGGGGTGGGGTCCTATAAATTTGGTGACAGTGGATTCTGTGAGGGACCCCAAGCTGTGCTCCCCTGCATCCTCCTGTCTCTGTCCAACCACACACCTGCCTAGGGAGCCCAGTTGCTGAGGAACATGGGAGCAGCCCCCAGGAACCAGCCCAGCCTGCAACCCCAGGGCTGTCTCCAGGTAGCACCAGGCCTCAGTAGCTCTCAGCTGGTGTGCGGGTATGGTTCGTCTCTGGCCATCAGCTTGAGCTCTTGCCACCACCCAATGTGGCCTCCCCAGGGGAAGCCTCCTGAGGCCCCACAGTTAAGCATCACCCCTGCACCAGCACTGGGGGTGGGACAGCTGCAGAGCAGAAAATGGAATGCAGATCAAGAAAGAGTGCAGGAGACCCAGGGGCTGTGAGGAGACTGGAGGGATGGGAGCTTAGAGAAAGGGGGAGACCCTAGGGGTGACATTACAGGAGAGGACACAAGGGGAAGGTGGCCGTTAGAGGAACTGATAGGAACTGAGGATTCCTGTCATTTGAGGGCAGATTTTCTTTTGAACTTGTTAGTGTAAGCCTCCTCTCCTCCTTGTGAACCCCAGTTCCCTCTCTCTCCCCACCAGGGCCCAAAGTTACCCCAGCCCTGCAGCTCCACCTGTTCCCACCTTAGTGCTCAGCAGGCAGGTGCAGCTTCCCTGGCCAGAGGCTCTCCCCACAAGGCTCTTAGGCTTGTTCCCTACCTGGTCCTGGAAAGCTGGGGCCAGGTCTTCTGGTTCCAAGACACCACAAGGCCCCAAGCAGGAGTGGTTCTTGGCTTTGGAGACTCAGACCCTGGCTGCAGCTGTTTTCAGTCCCAGAGACAGTGAGCTAGGAGCTGTTTACCTGAGGACAGAGCACCAGAGTCCCAGCCTGTGGAAGAAGCAGGGTGGAAGACAGAAGAGTGTCCTCCCCCAAGATGTACATCACACTTTCCTCACAGGAACTCTAGGGACCTCCCTCCAGGCCACCTTGAAGCCGTCCTGAACCTCAGTTTCCCCTGCAATTCTATAAGTGGCATAAAAGGTCTGACACCAAGAAATAGCAGAGTCTCTCACCTGCAGTAATCAGCAAGGTCCAGGAGCACGGACCCAGGAGCTTAAGGAAAGGGCAGAGGAACAAAGCCTGCTGTCCACTCTCCCCTCGCCAGCCTGCTTCCCTCCTGGGCCCAGGCTTCCATGCTCTAAGTCTTCTGTGAGGAAATCCTACTCCCTGAAAAGGGCCCATATGTTGAAGCTCACTCAGGTCTTCATCAGTAATCAAGTCCTTATACCTGTGCCCAGGGACGGCCAACAGGTTCCACAGTTCCAGAGCACAGCCAAAGGGGAGAAGCCTGGCACTCCTGTGAAGTTCCAAAGCTCCTGTGGTAAAGTTCGAAGGTCGGTTCTGTTCAGCATTGTGGAGGGAATGAGGAGAGAAGGGTTGGCTCAGAGAGAGAAACACAGATGTAGACATGATAAGAGACAGATCTCAAGGCAAGTGGGAGCCTAGAGACTCAGAGAGAAGTGCACACACAGCCTTACTGCAGAGGCGAGGAAGCCGCGACAAATAAAAGCGGAGACAGCAAGGCCTGAAGAGGGTTTGCAGATGCCTACTTGCCCACTGCTGGGGTCACTCAGGGGCTCCCCTCTTCTGCCCTCAATTTCAACCACTCAACAATGACCTAGTGATATTTTCCTACTCAACATCACCAAGTCCCTCAATAACTCACATTCTTTCCCATCCTTGTCCCATCTCACTCTCTAATTCACCTGATTCCTCCCCCCAAGTCTGCGTACCTGTCCAGCTCCCTCCAGCTCACCTCTCAGAGGAGTGCTCAAGGTCTGGCCCCTGCCACCATCCCTCTGTCCATTTCTCCGTGTCCTTATTCTGGCTGAGCTGAGAGCAGAGAGCCAGAATTGGGGGCACGAAGGCGTGGGGCCAGGTGTCAGCTGGCCGGAATGAGCTGTGGGGAAAATGCAGAAGGGTCAGAAGACAACAAAGGAAGAGCCAGAGAAAGGGTGGGAAGGGTGGAAAAGCTTGGGAGACAAAGGCAAAGGGAACTTCTGGGAATCTCCAGAGTGTGACCCGGACCCCTAGAGTCCCATTATTGGCTATGTACTGAACAATGCTGAGAAAGAACCAGGGACAGTTTGGTGAGAAAATGGGGTTAAGACAAGGAGAAAACACTGTTTTCTGAAGGTTTGAGACCAGGAGATTTGGGGCTGGGACAGACCCCAGACTGTCTGAGAAGCTTAGGCTGTAGGGATCCTTTCTTGCCAGAAAAGACCAACTGAGACCAAACTGATAGGGTCACATCAAGATGACCTGCCCCACCCCTGCCTGGATATTCTTAGCAGATGAAAGCAGGTCCAGAGGAGGAGTCCGGCTGCCCCTCTCCCTATCTCACAGCGCTTTTCTTTCCCATTATCTCAGTGCCCTTCACTGTCATATCGCTGACAGGACGTTATAGATGCTGCCCTGCTGTAACGTATGGGTCATACAAGTGCAGACTCACTGGTTTCCATTCCCTCTTTCCTTGTTGTTGTTTTTTAACCTGGATTTTTCCCCTGCCTCCTCTAAAACACGAGCTCGACTTGATACTAACCAGGGAAGGAGCTGCGATGGCTGGATGCCGCTACAGAGGAGGGGCAGAACTAGAGGGGCTGCAGCCTAAGAGTCTGTGAGGTTTGGGCTCCTGGTCCAAGTGAGAGGCCAGTCACTACAGACAGTCAGAGCGGAAGCTTGGAGAGAGGAGCTGGGAAGGCCCCTGGGTGGGGAGCTCCCTGTTCTGTACAGGAGAGACAGAAAAGGAGTGTGGCAGAAAGAACAGACAAAGACTTAAGCCAAAGCAAGAGCCCAACACAGGCATTATAGGCCAATAAAATTTAAGCAAAATGACCACACCCCAGGCAGCTCCTCCCCTAAATCCTAGGACTGTGACAGATCTGAGTCCAGCTGTTGGAGGTTACCCAGTCACAGGCCTGAGGGAGAAGACTGGCTTTCAGACTTCAGCCAAGGACAGTAGAAGTTAGTGACCTATTAGAGAATTTTACCATGAACAGGATCCTCCATATCAGACTCAGGGAAAGCAACAGTTGGGTGGGCAGAGACTTTCAAAGCTCTTAGTGTGTCTCAGCTTTAAGGGGCACGTGGGGAATAGGCCCTTGCAGCCTCCCAGGCTCTCCAGCTGAGCCTTCCTGACCATACCTGCCCCACGCTATCTCCTCTGAGGGAGAGTTCGGGTCAGGAGAGGCAAAGCCCTGCTGCGCTGTCAGATCCCAGGGCAGCCCTGCCCACGGTGTATGTTCTCAACCGCGTCGGCACGATGGGGACCAAGCTGATGGGCAGAAACCAGAGGCACCTGCGCAGCAGCCCAGCCCCGGGGACACGAGTCCTGTTTCTGTCCCACCCAGCTGTTGCAGGAGGAGAAATCTGCGTTTCCTGCTGCGGCTGAACCCAGTCGCTCTTCACTGGGTCCTGGGGGACAGGTAGGAACAGCTCAGGGACCTGCCTGAACAGAGGGCAGAGGGGAGCGGGTGCGGGTCCCTGGCTCCGCCCGCCTCGCCCCCTGCAGCTCCGGCGGCAGCTCGGCCTGGATCTCGTCGGGGGAGGCTCCTGACCCCGGCCCCCCGCGGCACCGCGTCCCCGTGTCGTGACCAGGCCTCCAGGCCCTCGTGGGCTCTGCTGCCCCCGAGCGGCCGAGAGGAGCAATCGTCCAGCCTGTGCCCGCAGTGTGGCGGCGAAAGAGGTGCCCTCCGAGTCCGGGGACCGCGCGGCCGGGCGCCCCTCCGGCCCCGCCGAAAAAGGCCTGCGCCGCAAGCTTCGCCCCAGTCGGCTCGCGCTTAGGGACGGGGTCCTTCCGAGGGCCGCTGGCCCCCGCGGTCGGAGGGTGACCATCTCCCAGAATTCTATTGCCCCTCGCGCAGCTCCTGTCGCCACGGAGACCACGCCGTCGTCCCGGATCCGCCGGGTCTCCCGTTGCCACGGTACCGGTGCTTTGCGACCTTGACCTTCGGTTTGCGGCGTGGTCGCGCTGTGGTTGCCCGGCGACGGCGGAGGGCTGAACCACGGCTGGAGCTCTGGCGGCTCGGGGAACCCGTGGAGGGCGCCCCGAGGGGCCGCACCCCT